TCACCTTGAAGGCTGCAAAAAGACCTGACCCTCTCCTTTGAGAGCCACACCGAGACATTCTGGGCGACGAATAAGCAGTCGAATTACAAGATTTGCGTTTTCCTCGACGTTCTCGCCGTTAATCCAGACACAGAAACGAAGAAAATCGATATATCTAAAAACTAACATTACACATGGAAAGCGGTTAGNTCGNNATTCGGACGCTATCTTAGTTGGGCGGGGAGAGCGGCACGCGCGGAGCCAGCGCTCTGTTCGTCTGCTTCTCCAAAGGCTTAGTCCCAGACAGTTACTATTTCGCCATCACGTGACAGTTTCAAATACGCGCCATCGGGACTAAGCCTTGCAGGAGGAGACGAACAGAGCGCCGCGCCGCCGCGTGGTCCCCTCCCCCCACCAACTAAGAAGCACCCGAAATCGCAATCAATCAGTTCAGAATGAATAAAAGCGCGATCCCAAGCCATCCATAGCGAATAAAGGGGATGAAACGCGTTGCGTTCCTGAGTATTGCTTTGGTATGCGACTACCCTTCAGTTTTATTTCACAATTAAAAATAATATGAAACAGGAAATATTCCTAATTTTCGGTAGATAAGCCCGCGCAATATCACGTAAAAACCTCCGCTGGTGCAGTGCACTTGCGTACATCTAGAGACAACCGTAACTTGCCCATAGGGTAATTCGATATGCTGATTACGAAAACGACATTCATTTTTAGCGGTGGCGCCATCTGGCGCCAGTTGGCGTCACCTTGTCACGACCCTTGTTTTCACCAAAATCGGTGTAAACTTCTGTATAGGGGTTATTTGGTGCCCTGATTACGAATATGACATTCGTTTTTGGCATTAACGTTGTTCAACGCATATTTCTCGGTTGGAGAGCGCAGACGAGCAGAAAATAGGCGCCAAATAGCGCCAGCGCCGAGAATGAATGTCATATTCGTAATCAGGACACCAAATAACCCCTATACGGAAGTTTACACCAAATTTGGTGAAAACAGGTGTCGTGACAAGGTGACGCCAACTGGCGCCAGATGGCGCCACCGCTAAAAATGAAAGTCATTTTCGTAATCAGGGCATCGAATTACCTCTATAGGCAAATTTACGGTAGTTTCTAAGGTGTACAAAATTACACTGCACGAGCGGAGGTGTTTTTACGTGATATTGGCGCGGGCTTATCTACCGGAAATTAGGGTACACAAAACTTACCGTTCTCCCTCCACGGGATCCCATCCTATGTCTGGGTAGCCTTTGGCGAATCATTTCTGAGTTTGGCTGCAGTCCACACCTCGACAGGTAAACAGTGACCTGAAACAGTCCCATTTTATATGAAATGACACTAGCGTAAAACTAGGCATAGCACTTACTGCCGCCTTTGATCAGATGGTTTGAGTGCCTACTAGGACTGACTGAGAACGAGGACCCAACTCATTTTTGTGCGCTATCGCAAGATACGGGGGTATCGTGGTGGCAACTCATTTGAGAGCGTGTTGAACATCTCTTCCTTTCGAAAACGGGATTAAACGCCGGGTTCGCACGACAGCGAACTAAAGGGTGCGTGCACAGCCTTTTCATTTCCGCCCAAAACTCTCCTCCGTCACCCTCCTCCCTAGTCTACGACTACGCACCGAATCCCGCCTCCTCTCGCCCGATACCCCCGCCCCCGCCCCCCACCTCTTTCCACCGTCTAGCCCTGGCGCCAGCACGTTTCTCCCCTTCCGGCAAAACCCAAGGCCCCCCACATCACAACCCCGCCTTCCGGCAATATCCGTCCATCGCACGTCTGTTGAGCCCATGCATTCTTACTGTCTTTACTAACTTCTCAACCTCCCCGCACCTGTCAGCCTCTCCCTCCCCCTTCAGAGCCACATGCCAGCTCGCTTGTTATCCATCCGACAGGCCGACGTCGCGACGATCCGCGCGCGAACGAACTCTGCAACAAAATGACCACGTTTTTGGGAGGACGTGTCTGAGTAGCAGAAGAAAAAATGCTGGACCCATCCACTTCTTGGCCATACCGCACCAAAACACTTGGATACCGTTAGACTTGCCTTGCTAGTAGCATTGTGCGTGTCCGAGGAGAACGATAGATGTTCAAAAACATGGCTTTCTGGATTTTGGCCGTGATGTGCCGACAGAGTACACAGGAATCTCGCACACCTACTACCGATCTCGAGAGTCCTGACAGAGCTTGTTAACCTGCGCATTAGAGCTTATTTCACAGGAATAATGACAAGTAAGACGTTCTCCTTTCTGAGTAAAGATTTTCTTATTCGTGGTATTGTGGTATGTTGTACACCTTGTGCGATGCATCTGCTATTTCAGCCCCTCTGAAAGAATTTTGTCAATGGCCCTTCCCATGTTCGGCTTCCCATCTTTCGGTGCCCGAGAAGCGCGTGAATGTATTAGCTGTCATGTACATAAGCCGGAGAGAGGCCCTACGCCGAATCTGAAAGCTGCTTCAGAAGATACACTTCAACGGGGCTTCGAATGTACGCAAGTTGTCCAGAACAGGACCGGACGACGGTAATCCTTGCCTCTACCGTACGCCGCCCCGCCTCCGGATTAGGTGAGGGCCCGCATTAAAGGCCCTCACAGTTTGAAAGTCGTAGATGGCCAGGTTCACCGCCAAGACCGAGCAATGTGACAGACCGTGTCTATCACACTTCTATAGCTTAACGGCAGTATTTCCTCTACTTCGGTAACCGTCCAATCCTTTGACCACTCTAGAGGACCACTTAAATAGTTCTGTTGAACTCATCGCCTGATCAGCCCTTATTCAACATCGGCTGAAGTTGAACACTAACGTTTTCGAAATGCTAAATGATGCGATCGGAGCGCTGACTTTACGAGAAGCCGAAGATAGCAGTTAGGGGTTCCAGAAAGGTAAGGCAAACCCATTGCTGCCGCAACCCATGACTAACCTTGATGGGTGTTTTCTCCTTGACTTCTTCGCCCTCATGCTCAACAGCGCCCTGTTGGGCGGTCAGAATGTTCATCATTATGGACATCACATTCTCATGTACAGACAGAAGTCGCATCAAATCCGGATGTTGGAAGAAAATCCGGTTATTCATCAGTTTCCTGTAAATGATATTGGATAAATACTTCATGTAATCGATAAAGCATCATCATGTGCTTGCTACCTTAGGAAAAGCCATTAGATCAGATAGTATTCAGTCGTAAAGGTAGTATGTAAAACAGTCAGAAACATACTAACCATCGAGTGGCCATATGTTCTGATTGAAGACAAATGCATAGCACATCCCAAGAAGGGACTGATTAACTCTTAACCCTTAATCCTACACCGTTTTACTCAAAGAAAAACCCCACGAGAGCTATAAGTCTTGGAAGCGCTTTGAATCTCCCAAGTTCAGGATCCCTCCGTCGACAGGATGACGCTTCCGCTACTTCTCGCCTATCACTCGCCCAGTATTCAACTCCAGCGGGTTGGAGGCACTTTATCAGCGGGTCTTCGAATAAGTTGCAGTGAGCTGGCATCTCTTGAACGGGATATACTTGTAAGGCAGAATTCTACTTTATAAGGGAGGAAGAGCGGAACGACGAGGTTTTTTGCTACATCTCAAATTGCTTGGTGAAGTTTTTCTCGGAATTGGTCCCACTTTCAGAATCGTGGTAGTTTTATTTGCGTATACCTACACAGACCTAAACATAGAACTATATTTGCAATCAGCCTGGAATATGATCCTGGTTCATGCGTACGGTAGCAGGGTAACCTAGCTCTGCCCTACTTCCGCCTTTTTTCAGTTCTACACTTTCTTATTAGGATTTTTCAGTTCTACACTTTCGTATTAGGAAAACTAACCAAAGACCGCGTTTCAGAATCGCCTCTTCGGTGTGCTCGAACTGGACAGTCAGCAACTCTCTAATCTGGATCAGATAGAT